CAACCACCAGATTGCCCAGTGTACTTTGCAGGGGCCCCACATTACCCGGTGCCTTCTTCATCCTCCCTATATATTTGAAAAAGGACTTTTTATTATCCTTGATCTTGGACGCTAGTCCTAGCTCTGTGTCCTCAGCTTTCCTGACAGCCCCCCTACAGGCCCGAGCAGAGGAGGTATACTCCTCTTTGAAGATAGCACCCCCCCTTCCACTGGGTGTATGCTGCCTTTTTGGTAAGCAGGCATTCCCGGACGCCCTTGGCGAGCCAGGGGGGCTTTTGGGCACTCTTGCCCCCCTTGCTTCTTGTTGGGATGGACTCCCCTTGGGCCCTGAGTATTGTTTCCTTAAGGAATGACCACTCATCCTGGACACTGACTGGGGGTCAAAAAAACTTAAGCGGAGTGGTGCACACAGGGGCAGCGCATGCTGCTCAAAAGTGGAGCCTGGCCACTCTGAGCCATGCTCCGGCTTCCAGACAGGCTCCAAACTGCAGGATTGCCACTGCTGCAGTCCCAGAAGGCCCCCAGGACCCCAGGTAAGGCTGCTGGGACCAGCCCAGTGCTGGCCCCAGCCTCCCCTACCCCACCCGGTGTAACCTGCCACACATCAAAAGGGGCATGGCACAGGTGTTCCTTGGGGACAACTAGTGGCAGCACAAGGTATCCAGTTGTTAGTTGTCCCTAGGGAACCAAAGGTCCAAGTTTGTGTGGCCATGGCCAATGGTACTAACATGTGTAAAGATAAATCTGTGGGAGAAAAAAGTGGAGGGACCATGCTATTTTTGCTGGTCCTCATCTCTTTAATTTGCCTGTTTTATCGCTCTTTGAGACTATGAGCTAGTATATCTCCCTGTTAAGTGCCAGTTTATCACTCCCAGGGATGAGTGGCCTGATTTGAAGGTTTTCCAATTTGAGTGACTCTGGGAGAATTTTATCATTTGGACTTTGACGCCAGTTTGTGTTTTATTATTTAAATGTAATTCACTCAGAGGTCTATAATGACATAATTTAAAAACCAATCTGAATAAATAAGAGAGAAATATAGCAAAGTATTGTGCATATAAATGAATTTATCTTTATCTTTTTTTAAGAAATACCTGATAAAGAAAATGTTGCCAGTATACCATTATTATGCAGGTATTATTCGTCAAAATGCTGATGTTTTGGCAGATGACTACTTTGCTGAGTGAGTATTTAATTTTTCGAAACATGGTAATTTCAAAAGATATAGACTATAATCTATTTCTGTTATACTGTAATGTAATCTTTAAATTAATCACATTAGCAGAAATATTATTTTTATTAATTTGAGTATAACAGAAACATTATATTCCAAATTTACATATGAATTTTAAATGAAAGAGGAGCAGCAGGAGGGATTGCCTGCATTATCAGTTTGTCCTTTCTCTTTTTAAAGCAAATATAGTACTTGTAAAAGATACTGGCTTAGTGGTACTGAAGAGCGAGATGCCTGATTTATCCATCAAATGACTGTGTCAGAGTAGAGTGGCAGTGAAAAACATAGTCTCTACCAGTGACCCTCAAGTTAATTTAAAGACACCAGATGTAAAGATTAGAGGGCAATGAATGAATTTTGCATGGTCTTTCAATTCTGCCTTCTCAACTGATGCATGCTTACTATGGTGACTGAATGGTGAGCGCAGTATGAAAACAGACAAGCCTAGGGCATGGGTTGCAATACAGTTTTCACCTTCCTACTTCCCACAAATATCCCTGTGTCTGGAACTTTGTAGTTGCTTGGTTTTGGTTTTATTACTAAATCCGATGTTTTGAGCAGAAGCTTTCCTAAGAAATGGCATCAGTTGCTAGAATTGTTTTAGTTCAAGTTTTAAGAGTAATGCTAAATATGTAATAAGTAGGGCTGTGCAAAGCTTTTGTGCTGATTTGATTCGGAGAAGATTCAGCGACTGAATCTCTGAATCCAAATCAGATCAGGAGACTAATAAGAAGGTCCGAATCTATTTGAAGCTCTCCGAATTGATTCGGAAAAGATTTGGAGAGCTTTGGAGATTCGGGCAGTCCCCGCTCACCTCTGCAGGGAGCTGGACCCAGACTCTGTACCGGTACGTAGGGGGAGGAGGGTGGGGGGCAGGGCTGGAGGAGGGGGGAGGGGACCAGGGGGGGGC